CCCCAAAACCCCAAAACCCCAAAACCCCAAAACCCCGCTTGTTCTATCCTAAAGAATAAACCATAACTAAAAATGAGGACGATCCTCTACATCTTGTATTTAATTGGCATTGTAGCTGCTGATAGAGATGACATGGGTAGACCCCCAATTTGCAAGTATATCGAAGATATCACTTATAGCACTAATGTATATAACTTCACAGGACTTGAGTAGATAAATGTAGTTATATTTAGCAATAATACGAGAGTCATATCACAATTATGCAATGGCGGTCGATGACCTTGTAATGATATAAATTTTACATTCCCAGGTAAGCATAATAATCATCAAAAGTTAGGAATATTTTCGAAAATCCAACTCTAACATGTTTTAATAATTCTGAAACTTGATAAAATTTTGCTTTGAATAAAGATTAGTACTAGTCATAATTTTCCATTTTTGAAAACAGGATAATGATGGATAATATTTTCTGATATTATCTATCCAGTTTTCAAAATGATCAGTCTTGACATAGCTCCTATAGATTCTCCAGACAAGAAGCCATCCATCATTAACCAAGGGATCTATTTCACTCCTGGCACGTAAGTCTGAGACTAACTCCATAGATACCTCAATATAAGCAGTCCATACGTATTTTGTTCACACATAATTTTAGAATTTACAGTATGGACGCCCATTCTCTTTCGAGATGTGGATATTTGGTACTACAACTATACCTGATTCTAAATTTGGAGAGCAGTCCAACCAGACGACTTACTTTGTCATGGAGGTTCAGTATTTAACTGTAAGTGCCAACCTGCTGTTTTTCTGCATGTCTATATCTTCCTTTGCATTGAGGTTTTGTATCTATTTGGCAATCATAACTCAAAAGTCAAATTATTTCTGTACTTAATAAATTTGCCAAAATCTGAAAGCATTTTTAAAGAAATTGCAAGTTTTTATTTTGAATCTGTCAATTTGATTTATCGTGATCTCTGATACAAAGCAAGCTCTAAAAGTGCTATTTTTATCCCATTTAGAACTCTTATCTCATCACTGTAGTATAAATAGTGAAGAGAGATATATTCTGTATGGATGGGCAAGAAAAATTACGCGTTTCTAATTTTCCCTCAAATACAAGTACATTAAAAAAGAAACAAAAAAACGGATAGTCTTTGTGACTCAGTATTTTAAAATGTTGGATTTTCAGATGCTTCATTACATTGATGGATTTCTATTTTATCCCAAGAGGTTAAAATTAGGATAATAATTAAATTGATAGGGCTCAAGAAGACGTATGACAGCTTTACCAAAGGTTGCAGCTGGATATATTGAGAGTAAGATATTTTACAAATTTTGATTTGAGAATTATTTTTCGATAAAATAAATATGCTATAGATTCTGGCAAATTTGCAATGGTATTTGACACCCTTGCTTTGAATAGTGCTAAGCAAGCTAAAAGTAAGTTCTAGCAGCTAAACATTAAAGAAGGGTGGAACAAATTAGCAATGACATGGATGGCATCCAACATTCTTGGCACTGTGTATCATTCATTACAAGATACAAACAATGCAGTTGACGCAGATGGCATTTTCAGCATAGGTAGCCATAATCTGATAGGATGCTCTGAGAACTGTGGCAACACAAATTTCATCCTACATAGCTTGAAGCTAAGCAGCATGGAGGATCTGACAATCACACCATTATCATTCTCTTTCAATCGTAAGTCATTGCTTCAAAAATACCAGCATACAGCCTCCAGTGAGGAGATGGAAAGATGACTCGGAAATCTCTTGAACAATGAGATGATGGAGATATTGATGATGATAATGGGTGTGACTCTGCTTGAATGATCAAACCAGGATACAATTGAACAGGACTTGAATTGGGAAAAAGTATTTGAAAGCCAATATGTGGAGATGGAGTCATCATTTCTCCTGAGATTTGAGATGATAATAACAGTGAAAAGTATTGGTAGAGTTAATGTTTAGTAATGATGGATGTAATTCCGGATGACAAGTTGAGGAAAAATATGTTTGAACAAATTCAACTCCAAAAGGTATAACAAGATCATTGCTCCAAAGATAGGAATTCTCATAAGTTATTTAGGGCTAAGTATATGAAACAAGTGCAAGGTAAAGCATTGTGCCCAATGCGATCCGATGAATTATGAAAAATGTGTAAAGTGCGAAATGCCTTTCAAGTTGTCAAGTCCAACAAGGTGATATTCAGCAAAGAATTTAGAAATCTCCAAAGGCACTCAGCAAATGTCTTCAAGCTCTCAGGCTGTGTCAGGAGTCAGTGCTGGAGCTACAATAGGAGTCTCAATTTTAAATCTATCATCAGTTGCTGCCATCTGGTCAATAGTAAATCAGCTCCAATTATACTTGCTGTTGCTTCTGACTAAAACTCCATTTCCTGATAATGTGAGAGGAATGATTTTAAGTAACCAAATATTCCAGTTCAATCTCAACTTCATTCCAGTCAAGAGCCTTCCTAAAGTCTCTGAGTTTGCCGATTGGATTGATGTTGAACAGGAGAATATCTATCTGGAAACTATTGGCATTGAGTCGAAAGCAAGCTTGCTGAATAACTTCGGATTTGCTGTTTGGATGGTTCTCTTGATTACTCTCTATCCTCTTGTAATGACACTGAAGCTATGTATCAACTATAAAAATGAGAAGAAATGCAGCTTCAACTATGTGATGATCAAGATTGTAGACCTCTTCAACTTTATTATTTACATCAGACTGATTCTTGGAGGGTTTCAGCTGCTTCTAGTTTGAAGTTTGTCAGAAGCTATCGATTCTGATTTTTCGAGTCTCTCTCAGATTGTTTCATTAATATTTTCGTATCTAGTTTTAATTGCGTGTATTAGTGCAATTGGAATGTCGTTCTATATTTTCTATTCTAAAAGAGAGTTCTATGATCCTGACAAGTACTACAAGCTTGGAGAATTCATCACAGGAATCCAGAACTCTAAATTTGCTAGACTCTACCCTTTCATGAGTCTGACCAGAAGAACTCTCTTTGTTGGGTGGCTCATCATTTTCAGCTGGTTCGACTGCATCTACTTGTCAATAGGAATGCTGGGAGTTCAAATAGTGTACTTGGTTGCTCTTGCAGTGATTAGACCCTTTGATAGGCTAGAGAACAATCTGATTGAATTGGTAAACGAAGTCATTTACACTTCAATGCTCTCAATCATGATAGCTTGAAACAGAGAGGAAGAGTGGTCAGGCTCAATCACTAGCATCTTCTGTGGAATCATTCTGTTTAACTCTCTCATCATTACATTCATCATGATAGGTAAGTTCACTTATTTATTCACAGGGGCTTTGTTGGTGTCTTTGTGCAAAAAGTGCTTCAGCAAGAAAGGTACAACTCAGACTCCAGTGCAGCCAGTGCAAGACATCACAAGTAAGTTTTCATAACCCTGTAGTGAACATTAGAAACACAAGAACCACTCACAGAATAGAATCCGATACCTCAGGGATCAGAATGATGCCATCATCAAACAGTAAGCCCCATCTCAACTGTAGATCCCAACATGTCTAAACTATTCGAAGAAGCAAGGAAGAAGACCAATCTTGAAAGAAGAGGAGACATAGACCACTAATCCAATTTAATTTCCCAACTACTAATCTAGTGTTCCAATGCACTCAGACCACCTCGGGGTTTTGGGGTTTTGGGGTTTTGGGG